TGAGGGGTAAATTCTAAAAGATTTATTACTAACAAAATGCATGTGGAAGACAGTAAAGAGAAAAAAGTACAGCAGAATGAGAAGGGGTATAAAATAGGAGTCCTTAAGACTTTATCTGGATAAGTTATATTTTATGCTGAAATAATTTACTTCATGAAAAAGAACTTTATCATAATAAATTACCTAACCAGAGTTTGAGTGCACTAATAATAATATACTTATGTCTATAGTTTCTTGTATTTATAGAGAAATATTGCTGATTGGCACTTTTGTGAAAATGAACCTAAGCTTCAAAACATTGATCATTCCTTAAACACCAGAGGTTTATATTATGCAACCACTTAACATAATAAATTAAAATGTTTGTCTCATAATAATATAATTTTCATTTTCCTCAGAGACTATAGCAGAAAAAAATAGAAATAGACAAGTTTTTTGAACATTCTAACAGAATCAAGTAAGTTTCGATACCTTCTAGACTTCCCCATAGGAAATGATTTGAAAACAATATATGACTTTCTGTTTTTGTTTTTGTCTTGAGACAGAGTCTTACTCTGTTGCCCTGAGAAGACTGCTGTGGCATCTCAGCTCACAGCAACTTCAAACTTCTGGGCACAAGAATCCTCTGGCCTCAGCTTCCCTAGTAACTGGGACTACAGGCACCCACCACAATAACCTGAGTATTTTAAGAGACAGGGCTTCCCTCTTGCTCAGGCTGATCTTAAACTCCTGAGCTCAGACGATCCACCAGTCTGGGTCTCCCAGAATGCTAGGATTACAGGTGTGAGCCACCATGCCCAGACTATTGCCATTTGTAGGCACCTTCTTAAACAAACAAAAAAAATTATATGGCTGGGCGAGTTTGAGACTAGCCTGAGCAAGAGTGAGACCCCGTCTCTATTAAAAATAGAAAAACTGAGACAAGAGGATCACTTGAGCCTGAGTTGGATGGTGAGCTATGATGCCATGGCACTCTACCCAGGGGAATAGCTTGAGACTCTGTCTCAAAAAAAAAAAAAAAAA